AGAAAGAAAAGAATTTAGCATATACAACTGAACAAACTCCTGAACTTGAGCTTGAGGGCCTAGTCCCATTGGAAAGGCTATCTTCTTGGTGCCAGATGTTATGGGTAGAATGCACAAAAGCCAATTTAAAAGAACCTCTTTTCCAAAAACAAAACATACACCTATCCAGTACAACCACTCTATACACAAAGCTAGATCTAATATCAACTACATGGATACTCCTACCGATATTTACCTCAATCCAAAGAGTGTTAATCCTAAAGAATAATGGTTGATGCCATCATACATCAAAATGTGTGACTGGATAAATGTGGATTATATGACTACCCTTGGCAGTTTATTATAGCAGAATGTGAAATTAATTTCAGAATAAGAGCCATGAATACATAGGAAATACATCCGAAGTTTAACATAGAGAAAGGAGGAGGGAGACTGAGAGATTGAAGACAATGAATAGTTGTGCCTAAATATACTTAATGCTGAAGGGGGATGGAAGTATAAGAGCATCCCCGTAAACCAATAACTCTATGATCATACTGAGAGAAGGAAATAAGAACTATAGACTCAGGACCAATATGAAGGATAAACTGATCAAGATAGAATAATCTAGACAAGCAGCTACATCTGGCTACCAAGGAGTCACGTGAACTCTGTGTAGAAAATCCTGGGTTCAAATAACCATGGTAAGCCTTGTTTTTTTGGTAATAAAACAACATTCAATAAAAAAGACAGGGGGAGAACATAGAACAGGTGGCATGGTAGGCCTTGCTAATGGCAGGTTATTTCCAGTTAAAGTTTTAAACATGACCATTTGAAATTATCATTTATTATCTATAGTTATCTGTCAGTTTAGCAAAGGCAGAAGCAACCATACAGGTTTTTGTATAGGGTTTACCAGGGCTGGGTTCTGCATTATATATTTGAGATTATGGTTGTCTGTGTTTGACAGCTGATCAGCTATATTTGCTTGTCCAGTCCCTGCTGTTTTGGGACAGTGAGGGACTTCTTTTGTTGATAATGAAAGGTTAATTAATAATAAAAAACTATTAGTTGGAATAGTTGCTTCAAGTATTTTATTCAATTAGCAAAGTAATACCAAAGATATGTACCTCAAGAGGCACAGCCAAGCTAAATTGTCCAAAGTGAAATAACAAAGAAATCATGTTCTACAATGCTCAACAAAGTTCCATCTTGGCAACTGCATGGGAGTATCCATTGCTATGGTGAGCAAAGATCTTCAAGACATCATGGATACTTGTGAACCTTAAAATAGAGGGAATTGATTTTTTTAATCTGTAACTTAAGTATTTTATTTAAAGGATAGGCTAGAACAATCTACTTATCCTTTTTTTCTTTATTCTTTTAATATTTACTTTTGTTTCCATTTGCTGACCTTTGAACCAACTGACTAGTTAACTCCAAAGTCCTTGTTTGTCCAAAGACCTCCGAATTCTTTGTCATCCATTTAACTTCCTCAATCACTTGTCTATACCACCACATCACCTGTCTATAATAAACCATATGATCATCAATTTGAATCACCCTCCAACACTATATTAAAGTTCAATTCTGTTGCCAATCCCAACCCTTGTAAGATTGCCAATAACTCTGCTCTTATGGAGTTACCATGCTAATTAAATCTTAATATGCAGTCAAAACAATATTCTCTGTCATCTCTAAAGTCTAAACACTCTGCCAACTCCAGATGGTCCCGGTTGCCAATACTGCTACCATTGAAGTTGAGCTTTATGATGTTTCTACTAGGAGATTGCCATTGCTTTTGAGTTACAACTCTAGAAGATGCAAGTGGCCACCTCTCTCCATCTTTCAAAGATGTCTTCCATAGAAAAATCAGTAAAATAAGTTCAATGTCTTTATCCAATGCGCTACTCTCGCTGTTATACACTCCATAATTGCTTTCTTTTGAGTATCTATTGTCATTTTTTTAGATGAATGAAATTATCACTAATAAAGATTAAGCGAGTGTACAAACAACCTAAGAAGAGGCACGAGATGCGACCTCCTCTTTAAGGATGAAAGCAAGAACCCACACTAGATAAAAATCAGAAAATAGCCCAATACAAAGAAACCCTTGAATCCCCTTTTATAGCAAGAAGAATCAGACAAAATATTTGCTGACCTGCTAACCCACTGAAAACTGGCTCACATGTTTCTTGTAAGCCATTTAATTCTTCTTAGGAGATCCCTATAAACCCAATTAACAGTATCCATATTCAACAACCAACCCACAACCACCTTAGAGTCTCCTTCAGTTAACAAATTCTCCACTCCAAGTTGGTTAGCAAGCTATATTCCTTGTACAGCTGCTAGTATCTCAAGCTTTGTAGAGTCTCCAATTCCCACTAGTCCTGAGAATAAGGAAAGAATATTGTTGTCATTATCTCTCAAAATCCCTCCTATGCCCAAGTGTCCTGGATCACCTTGGCTACTCCCATCGAAGTTCAATTTCACAACACCCCCTGGGGGGGGCAGCCAACTAACTTGTATTCTACTCTTTTTAGAAGAAGTGGAGGCCACTGCTTCCCAATTTCACCTGAAATCATCATGGGAATAATTCTCAAAAAGTGCTGGAGTTTTCAGCCAAAGGATTGCCCTTGTCAAGATGCACCCCTTTACTTCAGAGAGACTCCTTTCCTTTTCTTGAAAAGTTCTGGCATTTAATAGAGTATTTCTTGTCATTGAAAAGCCTTAAATTCTTTTCTTCCCAAATCATCCACATGATTTGTCCCTTTTGAACTGATTTGAATTCCATCTCTTTGAGAATTACCCATTCTAACTCTTGACTTCTCCTTTGTGATTGCTCTTGAAGCAAGCTTTTTCATTTTTTTTTTTGAGAATGTACACAGGGATCAAACCTTCAAAAGTCTCAAGTATACTAGGTAAGGTCATAATGTTATAGATTGAGTAGAGGGCAAATATATTTTTAGTAACAGGTTAGATTCAATTGCAGAACTAATTTAAAATTTCATTGTTCAAATGATTGCTTTAACTTTATAGAATATAGACAGTTTCCTATGCTTTTTTTAGTATTCATATAAAACCTGCTAGAAATAGAAATTTGTGTTTATAATGCCTTATATTTGTTAATTGCAAACATGTTTACAAACTGCAATGAGTACAAATAGAATCAGTTAAAGAATGACAACTTTTATGTCCAAAATAAATGTAATAAAATAATAAAAAGTAATAGAAGAAAGAATAGAAAATCTACATCTTCAAGATAATTATCAACATAGGTGCCATTTGGCAAGTCTACTTAGAAAGATCTTCCAGCAGCCCAAATGGCCAAAAGACATAGTGAGCTTTTGGGGTCTTGTCTTTAAAGACAAAGACCATTTGGTAAGCGGCTCGGTCTAGTGGGCTTTTAGAACTGCATTTAGAGGCACATAAAGACCAGAAAGCTTCATTTGAAGCTTCCCGAAATTCAGTGTTTTCGGGTCTTTCCACACATGCATCTTTTCATCTTTCCGGCTTTTGGTTACCAAACGGGAAAAGACCGATTTTTGGTCTTTCAAGCTTGCTGAAGCCCAGAAGACCAAGCAGAAAGACTTGCCAAACGCCACCATAGTTGTCAAGGTGACACCTAGATGGACACCTTGTGCCTCATCTTGATGTTTTCAGATGTGTAATAATTTTAGGTTTAGTGCAGCTATACCATATAGCGATATCATATTATTTAGGAAAGGTATAAAGGCGTGGAAAGATATTGTAAAAAAGAAATCATCCACTTAACCTTTTTTTCTGTAAATCCTCTGTTATCACTCTTCATTGCCTTTCTATGACCAGAATAAGGGCTCTGCTCCTTAATTCTCTTACTTTTTACTGCAACACACACCCATACATTCTCACCTCTATACCTTTGCCACATTTAAAATAACAAGCACTCCGCCTTTTCATATGTTTGTTTTCTTATATTTTTTTTATTTAACACAGCCACAGGCATAAACACAATGCGTACACACATTTTTCTTTATCTGCCTCTTGCAATAACAAGATAGGGATCAATTTCTTAGTTCTTTCATAGGTTAAGTGATGCCTGGGTAGATAACTACTGCCCTAGCAACAAGGTGGCTCCGCTGTCACCCAGTCTTGACTTCACACCTTGACAGCTATGATCATGAAAATCTCCTAATGAAGAAATACAAACCACCCATCAAGTGCTAACTTTAACTGGTGCAACGAAAATGATGATCCAAGCATAGTGCCTTGACAAGTTTCCTGGCCACAACAATTATGGCCAGATAAAAGAATGTGATGTGATAGAAATTTATGGACAATCATCAATCTAATAGAGCGGATGTTACACCAGATACACAAAATGGGAATTGTGGCTTGTAGATGAGTCTTTCCATGACAATTAATGACAGAAGGGCATGAATTTGGGAAATAAATCATTCCCTGCTAATAGAATGTGGCATTATAGAAATATATGAGCAATCATCAATCTAATAGAGCTGATGTTAAACCATACAAACAAGATGGGAATTGTGACTTGTACAAGAGACTTTCCATGACAATTAACAAGAGGGCAGGAATCTGGCAAAACCATTATTCAACAAATGTAAAACAACAGGGATGCATTAGCCAATCACAAGGCTTGGTATTTGCATTGTTATAACAAATTGCATAAGAGTCAAATGGCTAGTATGGAGATATCAAAAATCTCTTATGAGAAATTGAACAAGATATGATTGCTTCAAACAACAAGTAGTTTAAATAACAATGAAAACTTAAGTGGAAAGCAAAAACTGTTCAGTTAAATCTTATGCACAGTTTGGAAAAAGATCATCATCATGGAACAATAATATTGTCATTTGTCACTTAACATCCAAAAACACCAAAAAGCATTATATTCATCAAAAAAAAAACACCTAAAAGCATTATGAACTAAGACAAGCAAATTTTTGAACCATGACAACAAACAAGCAAAATTTTGAACCCCATATTTTCAACCTTAAAATATGAAAGCAGAACCACACCTTATTATCTTCAGTGCTAAGGCATTGCAAGCAGCGAGACACAACATGATTCCCATTAAGATCCTTAATTAGATGAAGGAAGCCTGGTTCAAGGGCTGAGATAACCATTGAAATCTCCTTTCTGGTTCTGAGAGTTTCAATCAACTTCTGTACCGCACGGGTGCTAATACAAAAGAATATCATGTCAAGGAAGCTAAGGAGTATATATGAACTCAGGGAAAAGGTTTTCTGACAAATAAGTCAGGGAAAAGATTAAGCAACACATTTAGAACTTACCCATGTGTATTTAAAGAGATCTTGACAAGTTCTCCTGGTTCTTCTGTTACCATGAGCAGAATCTCCATTCTCTGCTCTTCATTGCAGACATCAAGAAGTTTCTGCATAAGGTAGTTCCCAAATGGATTCATCATAAGTTCTACCACATGATTGATAATTTCATTAAATATTATTTGCACATCCCGTGGTGTCCCTTCGTCAAATATCCTTTGCAAAAACCGACAACCATGCTGATCCTTTGCTATGAAGTATATATAGCCTTGGACTTCCAGCAAGGAATTATATTTTGGTGGCAGAAAAGGGCAATAAATCCGTGGACTGCAACCATTTTCAGAACTCATAGTAGGGATTCCTCCAGAGCGGAATTGACCATCCAACTCAGAACTCTTATCCCATAGGTGTCCTGTGACAATTGCATTGCCACAACCTTTTTTATGTCCTCTTGAGTGATCATTTCCCTTGTTGATCACATAGTTCAATCCTTTTCCCTGTATGATGATGCTATCCTCACAATTAAATGCCTCAAGATCATGCATATTTCTCATTGATGGTACAGATTGAGCAGCCCAACTGTTGGGAATTTCTCCTGCCCTTCTGTTTAATATTGGAATGGTGTAACCCAGTTGATTGTCTACACCCGAAGGCAGCTTTAAATGTGTCAAATGAGAACTTGGTGAATTCAATGCAACCCTGTCTCCACTAGAATTTATCCCATTTTGCTGTGAGAATAGGAAAGAATCGTTAGCAGAAGGCCTAATTAAAGAAGGGATTACATTTGGTACCCGAATTCCCCTATGGTACGAGCTCCTACCAAAAGCAGAATCTGCTCGGAGTTGCAAATTATTTAAGGTTACATTGTTTGCATGCTCCCATGGAGAATTGATTTGGTCTACGAAGCAACTTGGCTGAGAAAATTGCACATCAGGTCGACGGGGAGAGAAACAGGGCCATGATAAATTACCAATATGAGATCCCTGTTGCATTCTCCACAATGCCGACAGCATCTCCTCGTCTAAATTATTTTGAGCCGTGGAACCAGAGTAGTTAAGGTCTCCATAATCAGAAATTTCTCTGGTACAACCTTCAAAAGAACCATTATTCTTTTCCACATTTCCATGATTTCGCCTGACTGGTGAATGATCATTATACCAAAACCCACTGTAAGGCTCTCTCTGAAATGCTCTGTTCATCGATAGAACCTCTTGATCATCTCTTATATGCATTTTACTTAAGTCCCCAGACAGACTCAGTTCGTCCATCAAGTTCTCATCGGCTTTCTTCGCCGCAGGGGAATCTAAGAATTTGGAGTCCGGCCACAATACATTTGGATAATGGGTATTCCTGGGTGCTACCTGGGATTTAATCTCCTCCAGTGGAGGAGGAGTTGGTGATCCGTCGTCAGGTGAGGACAACCCACCAGAGAATGAACTCGAAGACGAAGAGCCTTGGGACTGCAGCGAGACTCCACTAACAGGGGAGGCACACGTATACTTATGATAACATGATGGGTCATCCTCATACATGCCATAAACGCCATGAATTGTCTTTGTAGTAGAGCCGTGACAATGGCCACCATGAACAGGTACGTGATGATTCTGTTGGTGAAGAAGGTTAAGAAGATTGAGAGATGTGGCATGAGGGATCTCATTCAACAGTTTTTCAAGCTCCTCTTCGCCCTTCATACCTTTTCAGCAATATTTTTCTTCTATCTCAATTTCTTCAAGCTTCAGATAACAAAAACAAAGACGGATTGAGATAAAAACAACAAATAGACAAGAACAAGATATATCAATCTCAAAAGCCAAATACTCACATCAGAAACCGATTCAGCAAGACTGAATAGCAGATACCCAAAAGAGATTACCAGCTCTTCTGGGCGTTCGCGCCGGTGACCATCCTTGAAATGGTGCTTCAAAATTTAATCCCATTTTATTTTCATTTTGTCGCATTTGGGCTTGTGTTATCAGAGGAGTCGGTGAGACATGCAAAGATGCAGAAGAGCAGAAAAAATAGATTTCCAAATACGGTTACTCTGCCACATACGTATTATACGCACTCACGCCATTAAAACGAGGGAGAACAGAGATGGTGCCTGTGGAAAGAACATCGAGAGAAAGCAGAAGAGAGGACACTACTGTTACTCAGTATATATATATTCACTATGTATCATTATTATTATTATTATTTTATAATTGTTGTTATTTAATTTGAATTTTTTTTTATTTTTGATATTTTCCGTTATTGATATCTCCAACTCCAACAGACGGCCACCCAGTCTTCTTCTCCAACAAACCTCTCAGCTAAGATATCTTTATTTTCTGATTCCTCCACATCTAACGGACCATTTTCTTCCACGTCACTAAAAATATTGCGTAAATTGAGCTGAACAAATATAGCAGAACACCCTTTTGATATTCCTTAAGTCGTTATGTGAAAAACCACGTAATAAGATTTTAGCCGTCTGATTTCCACGAAATGTACGGTATGATATCAGTCAAAGATTTGGGTATGATTACAGGGAGAAGTAGCTAATTTACGCCGTTACGCGCCCCGCAAAGGCGCAAATGTCACCCTTTTTTCTTTTCTTTTTTCGCCTCTTAATTTTTTTCATTTTTTGTTGCTTGCCATCTAAGAAAAAGATTGATTTTAAATTTTTGAAAATAGGTGCGTAGGTTGAGTGGATGCGCCCCAAGCTTAATATAAAGAAAGGGAGAAATATATTGCAAGCTCAAATCTGATTCCCCGGTTTTCCCTAATCGAAAAGGGCGTAACTTTTTTTAGGACCCCACAGTTGATTTCGCTCGCAAAACCAGTCTTGTTATCATATCCTTTTGTGCCTATGAGAACACGACGCGTAGCATATTCAATTACCAAACCCAGCTAATTCCCCGCACTAAAAATCTCATTCGCGAGAAATTGAAATCCGTGCAATTAGGGGAAGGATTGAATCGTCGTGCAGCTCGTGATTAGTCTGCTCCTATGGGAACGCGAGACGTGGTGGATCAACGGGTGGGACCGCTCTAAATAGCCAGACGGAGCAGTGTCGGTCCCACCTAAAAGATCTAGGTGTATGAGTGGGTCATAGGTTGACGTACTATTTTCATTACAGTAAAAAAAATGGGAATCAGACGGTCAAAAAGCAACCAATCTTGGCTTTTGAACCAGCAAATCTCCCTAGATGCCCATCCACTCAGTCTCAGTGAGCCTTCGATGTTGCCTTGGTGCATCGAACCTATCTGACTATCTCATATGCAGTGGAAGAAAAGCAGCGACAGAAACGGGAAAGTCGGATAAAAATAGGGTCCATGGACCGATTTGTTAAATTGGTTGGAGAAAGGAACTGGGAAACGTTTCTAGTCGACTGCAATGCAGTTTCTAGTCTTGTAAACAAAGAGGAAAGCTGTAGCCGGTAGGCCCCCTACTGGGAGACGTTTCAAGGTGAAAAAAGGCAGCACTTTGGTGGAACCTTTTAAGATGTGGTTTGAGGGTAGAGAGTGATCAGAATCAGACGATTCCGATTCCGACTTAATAATAATGCACCAAATGACCGTCCCTCAACAGCCCACAGCCACTGACTTACCAATTCACAAATCTATATGAAACCAATCAAAACATGTTAACCTTCTGATTGGAAGAAAGAAGGAATATGGTACATAGATTCACGGACATTTGGCAGCCACCATCACCGTCCACAGCTGGGGCCTAGGTGTTTGTTAGCGCCTCTTTAGCTACAGGCAGCCTGTAGCTAGAAAGTACTGCTGCAAAGAGAAAGAGCTCGGCAATGGACATCTTTTGAAACAAATTATCTGAGAAAGGAAAGACACCTATGAAGTCACCACATAATAAAGGAAATGTGCTCGGTTCCCACTAATAGAACTGGATCGGGGACCAAACCTCTCCCGCATTAAATTCCGCATAGGCCTATCAGTTAGCCTGTTGCTAGAACCTCCAGCTCTTGGATTGGGGAGGTCTAGGACTCTAGGGGTTTGGAGGAGAGCTACCCCTGTTGTTGCCCATTACCCGAGTGAAGGCGGGCCAAGCTGTTAACTAACAAAATAACCATCAAACTTTACAGAACAATGATACGGGCTTACCTAAACTGAACACAAATAACTTCTTACTTAATACTTGGCTTGGTTTGGAAGAACTAAACATATTGTATCCGCACTCTTCCCAGACTGAACCTTTTACTGCAGTTATGAAGGGGGGTCAAAAAGCAGTGCCATGGTAGTGATTAGTGAACCCAAAATGAAACAAGAACGCGAGGTTATTGAAACTATAACTCCTGATTGACACAGAAAGTTGGGAAACCAATTAGCCATCAGTTCATCCCTCCGGTTTGGATGTTAAACCCTGATATATATATATATATATATATATATATATATCACATACTTGGCCAAAACCCACACTGCTACTCATTATCAATCGAGCATATAGGAAGAGGCCCTTCAGCATTCAAACATACAAACTAACCCACGAAAATAAGGAGAAGACCAGAACATGACGGACGGTAATAGGTAAGAACGATATAAGTTAGACACTAAAATTAAACCAAGGCGATGCTGCTCTCCCCACCTGGAGGCTTGCGGACGCCACCCAAGTAGTCTCTGGAGGCTGCCTTCCCATCAGCAAAGATATCACTGCCACTCATCTCCCGCAGCTTTGCCGTACTAAGTGACTTCTCAGCTGAACTTGGAGGTACATCCCCTTTGAAGATGTCATTGCCAGTCAGTTCCGCAAATTTCTGGTTATGTATCTTCTTCGCAGTCTTAATCACAGGTTCCTCACTGAACATGAAATTGCTGTGACCTCCAGCAGGCTTTAAAATGTAAACCAAAATCAGAACCAACTTAGATGTCTAAAGCTAACAAAAAATGTGATGTGCAGAGGTAGGAATACACCCAAATCTGATTAATTAAAAACAAATAACAAAAGGAAGACCAAGTGGAGTGGGGAAGACCCAAGCTAGGATGGGTACAACCTGTCCTCCCCGTTGGTAATGTCCACATGGCATGGCCAGTTGTCTGTGGATGATGACTATACTATCAAGTATCAACACAAATTCTTTATACTGCTTAGAAGAATGCAAAACTCCAAACAACTAAGGGGGAGTTTCATTTCATAATATACATGCTTTTATTTTCTTAAAACAAAAACAAATGCCACATAAGCAACAAACCATGCATATTAGGTAACACCACCAAACTAAATCTTTGGTTCAGCAGGTCATCAAGTTCATCAAGTTGTTCAACACCCCCCCCCCCGCGGGCCTCAAGCATGTGCCAGGAGAGCACAGTAGGCATCAAAAACTTGTTCATGCCCTCCACCATTGGAAAGTTAAACTCCCCCCATTGTACCAAAGTATTACAGCACAACAGGCTGTAAACATATTGGATTCAAATCTGATCTCAAATTTGATCCTACTAATATTCCTATTCTAGTCAAATTTATATGTTGGACTCCAATATATTTATATTATTGGACATTGATAAATTAAACTAAAAGTTATGGAAATATCATATATAGTTAACAAAATGAACTAGAAATGACAGTGATAACCATATATCATGAATAAAATGACTTGAAAATAATTTTTTGGGACTTGAACCTAAGGGCTATTAAATGTTGGTCCCTGCCATCTGGGATCTTAGAAGGGGTCTGGATGCTGACCTAACCTTCAGCACTTTCTTCCAGAAGTGGCTGCTCTCAGGCTCAAACACACGCACACACACACAGGAGGGGGGGGGAGAGAGAGAGAGAAAGAGAGAGAGAGATTATCAAATAGTCAAATCAAGTGAAGATTGAATTACAAAAGAATCTTTCATGTGGAAAATTGGTTATGGGGCTAAAAATGGCCCCACATAGTTCTCTCTCTATCTTCTATTGATGGGCCAAGTTTGAGCCCAAGGACCCTTGCCATGTAGTGGAGGATTGCACAAGTAGGTGCCCAACCCAGAGGGTCCCCTACCTGGTAGGCAGCTCACACCATCCTTCAACATGGAAGAATGGGGCCACTTAGGGTAGGTAAACTATAAAAAGATGACCCAACTAGTTAACCTAATATGTTTCTGTGTGCCAACGTGTCTGTGCCTCTCTGCAGTTTATATAGATGTTGTATAGATTCAAATCTTATAAGATTGAATTGCAATGTGATTCATATTCAATCCAATCATGAACAGAACAAATTCAGATTGGATTTCAGCTTCAAACTCAGACAAAAGCAAACTATTTACAGCCCTAGAAGAAGAGAAATGAAAATAATAAGTGAATTAAAAAGTAAAATAAAAGGTAACTAGGACATAAAATGGAACCCACTTGTCTGAATTCAAACTTGAATCCAATACAATTAAGTGATCCAAATTCGATCCATTTATAAATAGGTCAAATATGGATCTACTCTAATTTGATCTGATCCAATACAATAATATTTTATCATCTAAAAATATGTTTACAACAGAGTCATAGGTTCAAGTCTCATAAAGTAATTTTCAAGTTCTTTTATTTATATACAATATCAAATACATTTTTTGTTTATTTTATTAATAATGTATTATATTCTGATCATTTTTGTCTAATTTATTAATGGCATTCAATATCCAAATTTGATTTGATTCCAATCTAAATATGATGGATAAGATCCAATTCAAATTGGAATGCTAACAAATCAAATTTGGATCAAGGTATATCTGACTCAATTCTACTCTTTTGCATCCTTGTAGGTAGATGTAGGAAGATTGGAAAACAAAAGAAGGAAAAGGAGGAAAATAATGAAAGAAATTTAAAGAAATATCAAAAGGCATTTCCGACCCCCACACACAATTAACTCACTCACGTTAGACACTTTGACGGATGTGCGTACATTTCGTGGTGCAGGTTCCCCCATGTCTTTGCTTTCTTTTTCCAAGGAGCGAGCAGCCAATGGCCGAGGTGGAACCTCGGGAGGAGGGCCAAATATATCATGTCCACTAAGCTCCTTGCACTTCGCATCTGATAACTGCTTCTTCATCTTTGCCTCTGCCTCAGTTTCAAGTGTCCCACTTAGTTCCCGCTGCTTTGCCACCTCAGGAAGTGAGGTTGGCTTCTTAGGAGAAACACTCTCTTCAGCACCAAATGATATCTGGCTAATTCCACTAAGTGCTTGCTGAGACACCCAAACATAAGACATATTTCAGACAGACATATGAGCATGCATATGTGAATGAAAAGGGGCAAGTTATAAGCAGTGCTGCCAATGTAATGGACTTGTTTAAGGAATTCACACCCTAAAGTACCTTAAAACTTCAATACATAAATAAATACCTGGTAAATTCGTAACCCTGTTTTGTTGTTAGAAATAGGATTAGGACTACCGGATTCTGCTGCACCATTTTCACCATCAGCTGCAAAGATACCACTACCAGTCATCTCCTTCAATTTAGAACCTGAGCATGGTTTCCTGAAATTTGCAGAGATAGTTTCAGAAGGCCTTAGAAAGACATAATCAAGCATCTCATCAAGTTTTAACTTACTAAAGAGGCATTCTGATTTGTCCATAGTCAAAAGTGTTAGCAAATTATGTAATGAAATAAGATTGTTCATATAAGATTGGTTTTATCTCTCTTTAGTCTATAAATTGATGTAATTATCATAGTTGAGCCATGCAATCTTTTTAGCCTTCTCTGATATTTGACAAAAGGGTGCTTGCAATTTTCCGTCCAATTAAATACTTAATAATAAATCATTTTAGCCTGTCATTTCAGTTTATACATTCCAGTAAAACAATGGACTATAAATCATACAACAAAGTGTTCTTCATCCAGATTACACAGGAGACTTAAAATTTTTCAAATATCCAGATAGAAGTTGAATGAAAAAAGAAGAGCTCTAAGAAAAAAGATTTGCACCAACAATTTGAGCATGATTTGTATACAATCTTGACCTAGCATTTTTGCATCCACGAGAGTCAAGCTGCCTAAAATGAATACTCAACAACATGTCATTAAACTGCCCAACAGACTAAGAGACATGCATAAGATGTAATGCATGCACCAACAATTAGTGCACGCATGATATGTATAATGTACCTGATGTTTGTAGAATCTACAAAAACCTAATAGCCTGGACTCTCAAAGTCTAGTTTTACCCAGATCAACTACTCATGAAACATAACATATGCATGTCAGAGATTCCTGGAAGTATATCTCTGAGGGAGCTACAGAAAGTATCAACAGGCCAAGAACCACAATAGGCTACTACAAAATACACAACCAACTGATGGCATTTTAGGTTTTATATTAATTGTGTACCATTCTTTTATATTTTACAAGGGATATAAAGCACTCTATTTCAAGAATACTATCATCAGAAAAGTAAGTATAACCATAAAAAACAAAAAAATTCTCTGTGCTTAAATGTTTTCAATTTTTTATTATTTTGAACGTTATGTTGTAAAAATAAATAAATAGGATACTTGCACCCTACTCTTTGATCGTAATAATATCAATAAAGTGAAAGAAGATTAGAAAGGAATTTACATTCCCCAGCATCACTTATTGTACCTACACAACCAAAATATATTATCATGCAAAAAGTAGTATTTTACTCTTTCTTAATTGGTCACGATTTCATTAAGATTAGAAGATAAATTAAACAAAAGCAAAAGAAAGGAGAAATAAAAGAAACTATGGAGATCCTCACGCTTGACACAAGCCCACATATACAAAATGTCCCTAAAAACCAAAGAACTGGAAACCCCTAAAGACCCAGCCATGACATAAAATCCAGAAGAACACCTAAGAAAATTTCCGCCCAGAAATGCATGGGCAGTGGATACAACAAAATAAACACAAGAGGTCTAGAGGACAAAAACTTGTTAATGGCTTGTTGTTGGAGACAACACAAAATATTGAACCAAGCAGGAGAATTAGTGACAACAAAAAGTATTTACAAAAAGAAGGGTGGGAATCATCTAAAAGATAACCCAGAAATGCTGAAACACGGCCTATCATATATGACAGAAATGACTGTTTTATAGGACACTAAGTGCCAATACTTAGTTGGAACTATAAAATAGAACTAAATAGTAAAAAATAACCACAGGCATTGTTGATAGTTCAGGATGCAGTGCTCTCTTTAACTAATTCCAGCTTTTCTTACTTGTTTCAAAATAATGTCATGTATTAACAAAAACCAGCATCTTACATTACATCACTGTTACTGATTACTAAAGTGCAGTGGCTCAGTGGCTCATATAACGACTTTATAAATACAAAAGTAAGACTTAATTAATAGACAACCTAAATAAGTAGGTCCAGGTTACTCAATTTTCATAACTTTCAAGCACATTAATTTAGAAATATAATGAGCCACCTTGTAATTAGAATTTACACCAAGCATGAAGACATTTTGTGAAAGTATCCTGGTTCCTCTTTCTGTAACTCATATTTTATTATGCCCATTAATTAATAAAATTTAAGGGATATATAATATATAGAGAGACTAAAAAAGAAGAATAGGCCATTACTATCTTCACATATAACAGATCTTTAGAGCTGAAAGATAAATTGGGTCAAGAATACTTTATAAAGAGCAATTTTTCTCATATAATCTTTGAAAAATATAATTCAACAAGAATTAGGGCCAACCCTTTATTTATTGTAATCCTCCTAGCAAGAACCATTATTGAGCTGTATAAATTAACTAGAACAAATCCAAACTACTTGTCTTGTAGATACTTGCAATGTAACTGTCCTATAATTATACAATGTAAACTCGTTGTAGAACTTCCCTCTCAAAAGTCAAACTTGATAGGTCAATGTTTTTAACAAATGAATGCAGTAATTTTTATTTTAACTTCTTCAACACTATAATTGTTTGGAAATGCATTACTGTTAGGCATATATGATATGACAAGTATGCACACCTAAAAATCAAAGATCTGAATTCTATATGATGCCAAACATGTGCCAGATAGAAAGCTAGACAATGAAAAGACCTTGTGGATAGGAAAAGAGGAGACACCCTTTAACTTGATCTACCAGCACATAGAAATGTCATCCACAATCTGAACTTCCTAAAAAGTACAAACGAAGAGGAGATGGAAGGCATCTAGGAGTAAAAAGCTTAGATTTTTAACTTTCTAAAACCAAATGTAAGAGGTAATTAAACTATAGGTAAATAAAGTGGACATGTCTCCAGCAATCACTCCATTGATGCAAATGGGACAAAGTTCCTCTTCTTCATATAAGGGGAAAAAACAACAGTACAACAAGCTACCAAGTCTGCGATATATTTTTATTCTTAATGAAATTTCATGGCGAGTTCAGTAAAAATACTCAGTCATAGGAGAGAGTATAACATATCCAGGTGCACTGATCTGGCTATAATTCATGAGAGAAGATCCACGCAGAGAGAGAGAGAGAGAGAGAGATTATGAATGTCATTAATCCATAGAGCATATTACGGGGAAAAGTTAAAACATTTAATTTATCGGCAGATCTGAAAAACAGTGTACAAGAAACCGGAGCATAAATTTGTAAAAGAAGGGAAAAAAAAAAAGAAAAAAATGGAGAATGTGATAACCATCAATAATGCAGGAAAAACCAAGTAATAAAAGTCTTTTATCCAGCTTATCATAGGAGATTTGTTATTACGACCAATAGAAACTCCACAACCAAAGAAATTTCGAAACTACAAACAGGAAGAAAGAGGGAGAACTAGAGAACCACCTAAGTTTGAATCAGATAAAAAAAATCGACCAGATCTTACCTTTTTAACAAAGAATCAACTTCTTCATCAGTAACCTGTCCTCCGAAAAGAACCTTACTGATCCCGTCGGACGGCTGAAATTTTCCGAAAAAACACTCTAAATAACCGGAAAACCAGAAAAATATCAAAAAGACACCCTAATTTCTAACGGAGAACACCTACCTGATTATTGCGGATCGTCGGTCGTGAACCAGAAGCTGCGGAATTTGTAGCAGAAGAGTCGGCGGGAGGATTCTCCGACCATGTGAGCAGATCTGCAGTAGAAGTGTGAGGCTTCCTCACGGGGGTAGCTCTCTCCATTTCCTTCGAAACTCTATTTCTCTACTTTCTTTTTCTAGCTCGAATGCTCAAAACAAGGAAGACAGAGAGGGAGAGAGAAAAAGAAAAACAGGTTTCCAGATCTCTCTGTTCTTAACTTCCTTGCTTTAATTAATGGTTTTCAGGTTGTGGATCCTCTGGTTCTGTGTTTTCTCTCTCTTCACGCACGAAAAAAGCTCGATATCCAAAATGACGTGGTTGTCCTCCCTCTCCCTCTCTTACAGACTCACAGTCTCACTCACTCACTGTCTCAAACAATCTTTTTCTTTCCCCTTTTCTTGCTTGCTCGCCACTACGTGTAGAAAGTCTCTTCCAACTCTTTCCCTTCTTAAAACCAGACGATACCGTCGGTCGTACTTCTACAACTACCACAATATTTGAATTTTCATTCGCCTCGCATTTGTTCCTTTCACAAAACCGACATGTGTGTGTTGTTCACCGGCTCCACTCCTAACATCAGCCAACTCTAGCTGCTTGGAACCGGTGTCAACGGTCCAAATCATCTTAATAAAAGTTCTAGTCGTAATACTGGGCCAATCACTACAGACCACGTCAATCCCGCTTAATGGAACCGGCAATTGTCAGTTGCTAGATATGACGTGGCGCTTATTGATTGGTCCAGTAATTTTAAATGTTAATTGCGAGGAGGTGGATTAGATTCGGAGTCGAAGCTTGCCTTGCTAAAGAAAAAATCTAAGGGTATTCTCGTCAACGTATGCTTAAGCTTGTTAAAGAGAAGATCTTAAGTTATCCGTTAACAGATAAAGTTTGATAAATGGCAGATTTATCAAACTTGCGGCTCGGCACAACTTACGCCAAACCGACATTTTAAAATTCTGAAATAGAATTACTAAAAAATCCTTTGAAATGATTGGAATGACAAAATTACTATTTGGATGAGATATGAATTATGATGAGAACTGCAGGCGTTTATTGATGGAATCGACTTGGTTGAAAGTTGAGAATCTCGAGCAAGGACCACGTGGATTTGAAGATTTTTTTTGGTTTCGATGGGCGGGGATTGATCTTGATGATTGTGATCGGAAATAAATCAGTGGTCCAACAGAGCAGAACATCGGTGGGGTACAGCTTCTGCTTGTCATGTACGAATAAAAGGACCCCTCCTCCCCCCTTGGCGACTTCGCCCAAATTCTTTAGCGTTGAACGGTTGAACCATTTATCCAGCCATCTATTCGGTTTGTTTGGTTATTTGCAAGGTTCTAAATATATATCCGATATGTCAGTAGAAATGTATCGGGCAGTTTTTTTTTTTTCAAATTTGGTTCAGAAGGGCTAGTTTAAGATTTGTTCATCCTCTGAACCAATCAAAACTCCGTTACATCTTCTATAAAGGCATATTGAGAAACTCCCAATATAATACGTATTAACCAATATAGACCAATACATATCAATACTTTGAACCTTACACATTTGCTGCAACAGTGTCGTAGGGTTAGCATTGTGCTCACTGCTTAAACAATCAAAATCAAAACCATTGATGTATTATTGCTATGGCTCCACTTGGGGTGAGAAAAAAAACAAAAATCATTCGAATTGAAAAATCTGATTAATCAAATCGGTCAATTTAGTATTTTAAAAAAAAATAAAAATATCAATTTGATTTTAAACATAGGCCCATGATTCGGTTAAACCAAGAGCACCCCTAGCTATCGCAGTATTGTAGCAAAAAATGAAATAAATGAATTCCTAGAAAAAATAATAATTCATGCGTATTGACAAACACCCCTACAACATTCATTTGGGTTAGACTATGATATGGAAAAGATATAATATCCCCAAAATAATTGACTAATAAACTAGAATCGTAAACCCGGTAGTCAATAAGGTGTTATTTATCAAAATTCATAAGTATGTTTTAATTGGTCAAAACTCTTTCCATACCATATCTTTCCCGTTTCATAGATTTTTTCCATTTATTGATATTATGTTTCCATTTTCTAAATAAGAAATAACTACAGTTCTTAGGTTTTTCTTTGGTAACATTGATAATTCATCCAGTCCTGTACATTATGGGTGTTGTTACTAGAAGCTTTAGAAAGAAGGTAATTTTTTATAGGGTTAAATATTAATACAAATTTATCCTACTATTTAAGAAATTACTTAAAGTACCCCAAACATTTAAAAGTTGACGGAAAAAGATAAAAAGACCTCACTGCCCTTCTGTTAAATAAAGAGGTAACATGGTGACCATTGCAAAAACACACCAGAGAAGATGACCGCTGAAAATTCCAACAAGATCTATGGTGACCGTTGCAAATCTCGGCAAGATCTCCAGTGACAACATTTCTTCTTTCTACAATTGACAGCCTTGGGATGCAGAGGTGTGCAGAATTTGTTGTCCTGATTGTATTTCGGAGCCAAACCCATCAAAGAAGGCTTGATGATTCCTCCAACCTCAAAACCAGATGCAATGTGGACTCTTTTGGATGTTGTAGTCAGCAAGGGTCCAGCCATCTTCAAGCAAAAACAACTGTTCATCATCTTCTCTACTCGAACCAGTAGTGGCCGTTAAACCTTCCATAATCCTCTCTCTCTCCCCCCTTCCCTTTTTTCCCCTTTTCCTTTCCATCTCTCATTTCTTCCATTTTTTGGCCATTGTTCATCGTCTTCTGATGAGAACAATAAATCCTCAGCAGTGATCTTCTTTCAATCTCCCCCATCATCACCATCGACAATGACTTCTCTGTTTCTTTTTCTAATCCTTTTCTCCCCACCGTTCTCTCTTCTCCTTCCCTCTCAATTTCATTCTTCTCTCCCCTTCATTTTGTTCCATCCCTTCCACCATTCTCTCTCATTTATCTTTCGGTATTGTTGATCCACCTAAGAACAAGTGAGAGGTGTAGGGCTAAGAGAAAGAAAGAGGGGAGACCGAGAGAATGACCATAAATGCTGCCATTGTTAGGAGTTGCAGTAGCAGTGGCACTGATGCAAGAGGTAGGGGACGAGATAAAGAAGATAGATAGAGAGAGAGAGAGAGGTGTAGGCTGAGAGAAAGAAAGAGGGGAGACCAAGAGAATGACTAAATATGTCGGCATTGCTAGGAGTTGCAGTAGCGATGGCGTTGATGGAAAGTGACAGGCGACGAGATAAAGAAGATAAAGGGAGGGAGGGAGAGAGAGAGAGAGAGAGAGAGAGGGAGATAAGAGAGTAGAGACTGGAGGGAGAGAATTCATTACTGCCTTACCGCTGCTCCCCTTATTGAGAGGAAGGGGGAGACCAACAATGTATCGGAGTTTTATTTTAACTCGCTGAGAGAGAGGGAGATAAGAGAGTAGAGACTGGAGGGAGAGAATTCATCACTGCCTTACCGCTGTTTCCCTTATTGAGAGGAAGGGGGAGACGAACAATGTATCGGGGTTTTATTTTAACTCGCTGAGAGAGAGAGAGGAGATTGTGGTGGGAGAGGAGTTGTAGTGGTGGGGTGGTGCTCTATATCCAGACATAATCAAAAAGATAGAAATTGGTGGCGAAAAGAGAAGGAAAATGAAAACAATGGAAAAAAAATGGACCGAAGACTTCAACTCCTATGGTTGGTTGATTTATAGGGTTTTAGAATCGCCTACGAAACCCGAACTGAAGACTCCTCCCGTTGGTCGATTTACGGCCTCCCGTCAATCGATTTATAGAGTTTCAGAATCGCCTGCGAAAACCAAACTGAAGACGATCGTGTTGTAAGGATTCGTCTTTGAGCTCTACATTTTCTAAGCCTCAAGGGTCTGGACACCATTGCAAAACCAAACGGTATTTTGGACCATAAAAGGGTAGTTTAGGCATTTTGAAAAAAAATAAAAGTGTTAGGTGGCAATCTGGCATCACATGTGAATGGATTGTAATGGTAGGGGAGGATTTTGTCCATTTTCAGAAATATTCAAGGGACTTTTAAGTAATTTCTTAAACAGTAAAGTAAGTTTGTGTCCATTTACTAAACCATAAGGGCAGTCTAAGTATTTAACCCTTTTTAATAATGTTCAGTCAAGAGTCCAATGCTCTATCAGTTGGTTGTATTATTTTGTATGTATTTGTACTACTTTCAAACTAAGCCTAAAGTGAGATCTAACACTTTGCAATGGGATCTATAGTTCAGCATATTTTTGCTTTTACACTAACTTGGAGCAAACTTACTATTATATTGGATTTGTTAAATTTGTTTCTTTTGAGAGAAAATGTCTGAGAAGGTTTGGATCTACTACAGATTTTTTTTTAAAGAGAAAAAAAAAAAAATATATATATATATATATATTAATTTTGGAAGTTTTAGGAGCATTAGAGAGTGATCCTTTAGATTTTAGTTCAAGTGTTCCGCCCCTTACAGCTGCAAACGGTATCCGATTATCTGATTTTGAATCCGAATTCGATCCATTAATAACTGGATCAAATATGGATATACCCCTATCCGATCCGATTTGATTTAAATATATATGTTCATATATACTTAAAAAGTATATAAATTTATCATTGAAGTTGATCTTAATGTTGTATTTTTGTCGCATGTTCAAGTTTTATACAAGTAATTTTCTATTCATTTTGTTCATAAAATATATTATTAAAGTCATTTTTAGCTCATCTTATTAATAATATATAATATTTTGGTTATTTTTAATCTAATTTATTTATACTATTTAATAACCGATTATAATCCGAATAATTAATAAGATGAGCTAAATTTGGTTATTTTTAATCTAATTTATTTATATTATTTAATAACCGATTATAATCCGAATACGATCCGAATCCACTAAATATTCAATAGATATGATCCTATTTGGATTCAACTGTTAACAAATTAAATTCATATATGCCTATATTTGATTCAATCCGATCCGTTTACAACCCTACCGCCCTTGGTTGAATAAATGTGTCTATAGGATTCAAAAATAAAAATAAAATTATTATAATAAAGTGGGTGTCTGGGACCATAGGGTGTTTTTTATACCATTTGAACTGTTTAGGCTATGTTTGGTTTGAAGGAAAATGTAGGGAAAGGTAGAGAAACCTTTACAAACCTTGTATTAGTTTCCCTGTCTTTCCCTTCCTTTTCCTTTAAACGAAACATAGCCTTAAATTTTTTTTTTTGAAAAAATAAAAAAAAAAAATCATGTTTGATGGAGATACAAGCTTGAGCATTTAAAGTGTTTTGACTTCTTTTAATAGTATTCACAATGACAAATGTTGGGCATCTTAAAAAACTGTTAGATTTTTCAAATTTCATTGAACCAGGCCATGTTAATTTCTTGATTCAAATTCAAGATCAATTTCAAGAAACATCAATTCACTATTTAAATACCTCTTTTCACGAATCCTAAAGCTAATAATTGG